GGCCGCTCTGACTCAGAGGTCAGACACGATGGATCACTAGACCTGCACACACACACACACACACACACACACACACTCTGTCTCTCTCTGTTCTGGTCACGGTGCAGCTTGTTCGCTCCCCCTTGTATTCAGTGTCGGGGCTCATATCCCAGGGTGCACTTGTTCTCTGGCTTTTAGGGAGCAGGATCATACTTTACCTGAGACATGTTTCGATCTTATCTCTGCTTTTAACACACACGTCATACACACACATACACAGAGCTGTATTTCACCCTTCAGGGAAATGTCTGACTGTACATCTGTGTGTGTGTGTGTGTGTGTGTGTGTGTGTGTGTGTGTGTAGGTGTTGTTAAGAGGACACTCAGTCTCTGCTGGTTCAGGGTTGGTGGTGAGGTCTGCGCTGCTTTGTCTCAGCTGTATGTTGAGTGAGACGCAACCAGAGGTGACTGAAGGTCTGCTCTGTGTTTGGTAAACAGTCTGATCCGGACAGGGTAAATAATGGTTAGTGTACATGTGTGTAGGAACAGGGACGAGACAAAATATAAAATAACTGATGTCACTGTTCCGGGATGTTTGCAGAAAAACAAACAACAAAACAAAATGGAAATCTGTAACAAAATAATTTGTGGTTTACAATCGTTGCTGTGTGATAATGAGTCCAACAGTTTAATGTAATGGAGTAACACTTTCATATGAATGCAGTCAATGGGAGTGTAATTTAGGTGGTGGTGGGGGTTGTTGGGGTATCATAGCCCGTCTAGGGGCCCAGAGACTGCTGTTCCAGGGGAGCAGGGGGGTTAAGAGGCGATGTCACGCCCAGAGAGACTCTGCCCCGTTGTCCTAATGATGTCCACTGGCCTAATTGAATATTGACGTTCTGCACACGAGGGCTAAACGGCTTCTGTCTGCTTCACCTCCTCTGCCGGCCTAAGCTGTTTTTCCATCCTTTGATTCCCTCAGGAGATGGTGTGTGTGTGTGTGTGTGTGTGTGGGGGGGGGTCGTTAGATGTTCCTGTTACGATGGTTACAGGCTTTCTCTTTGTTCCTTTAATAAAAATATTGGTTATCTAGGATGTTAAAAAAATACATCTTCCTTAGCTTCTCCTCTCGTGGAGTCGACGCAAATCAGGAATGCACATTCTCCGATTTGTGTCCGCATCTTACCTCGTTGAATATTGCTGGACCTACCCTTTAAAATAAATAAATAAATAAAACTCTCTTTCTTCTCTCTAAACATCACCTCCTTCCTCCTTTTTCTTTTTTCTTTTTTCCCCTTGCTTCTATTTCTGTGACGGCGCATTACTTCCCACTGTGTCTGCCTCCAGACGCTTCTCCTTTGTTGCCACGGCGACGACTTCCAGATGGCGAGTGTCATGGCAAAGACAGGGCTCCAAGTGTAGTCTGATAATAACACACAGACACACACACACACACGCACACACTCTATAGGTCGCCATACATGCATATATACATTGAGAACAGACTGGTGGTGTACATTCTGTTCAACACTCACATCCTACTCAGAAGCTGCTGGACGTGCACTCTGCCCACTATATACACACACACACACACACACACACACACACACACACACACACACACACACAGCAGTACGGTATAATAATAAAAGCAGTGTCACAGCCACACAGGAAACAATCTCTCCTTTATGTGACCGCTGTGTCATTAATCTTGGCGGAGGTTAACAAATGCACTTGCATGGAAGGTATATTTCATAGGCAGACAGCCAACAATGGGGCCATTGTGGCGTCGAGGCCGCAGCGGCGAGCTCTGCATTCAGTCAGAACTTTTTTTTTCGGTTGGCTCTGGATCCACGCCGCCTGTCCGGGGTCATGTTTCATCTCTGCAGATGAATGTGTTTATGTGGGAGAAAACATGTGAAACACGGAGCGGAATCAACGCTCCAGCTGTTTATTTATTTCTGCTGCGAGAAACCACAATTTGTTTTCTGAATGGAGGGGAAATAAATGCACTCGGCTATTTTTCAAAGTTTGGCCTTGTCGCTATTAGTCAAAAACTAGAGCTAGATGAATAGTCTGCTGGTGCTTTTTATGTACAGCCGGCTGACCAGACCAGCGCCGCTCTGATTCACTGTTCTCTATGTTTCTCCAGCAGCGCTATTTCCATCTGAGAAGTCCTCCCAGTAATCCATTAGACTTCCATTAGCTGCGATTTGTGTGATTAGTTCTAATTAATCAGTTCAGTCTGTGGCCTTCACTCCCCCGCACGCTCCTCACATTTCATTTTTAACCTCATTTCTCAGCTCTCCACCGAGCGAGAGAGCGCGGCGACGACTGAGCGAGCAAATCAAAGAGCGAGCTGCAGGTCTGACGCTTTTTCTGTCTGAGCGCAGAATCACTCGATACTTCTCGAGCACCAGACCCCAGAACAGGCTCAGCCGCTGCTTGGACTGTGTTTTAATGCTCTTTTCTCTCGCCGGGCTGAATACATGGGTTACTTTCTGTGTCTGCAGAGGTTCTTTAAAGCTTGGTTGTGTTTTTTTTAAATGAACCAGGAGGGATTGGGATCTCATGTTTTACACATCTTGAGTCTGCTCCGGCTTCTGTTAGCCCCTCTCGGCCCTCCTGTCGAACAATAAGTATTGATTTGTGCAGGAGCATCCATCCCTCACTGTAACAAAGCTTATTGATGTTTGTGGAGCCCTGATTTCCCCTCGGTCAAACCCCAAGTGCTGCAGCATCACTAAATGAGTTGATGCTGCACCAAACTCTGCCCCAAAGTGACCTGGGAGCAAAAACAAAATCTTCTTTTTATGAGCAACTCTTTTTCTCTTAAAGTGAAGTTAGAATTAAAAGATGATTTCAGGCTTGTTGCAGTAGGTCAGCTTATATACTGAGGTATTATGTGGTGATAATCTGTCTTCTTTCCCCCTGTTGTCAGCCTTCTTCTGCCATTACCACTATTGTGATAAATGAAGGCTCAATTTATCAGCCGGCCTCTACTCGATTTCTTTTTCTCCCCTCGGTTTTCCCCCCGCCCCCGCCGCTACATCTTACCTCTGTATGGTTCGTTTTATTCCTCCATCTGTTTCCATCCATCCATCTCGTCCCCTCTCCTTCACATCGAGCTTCTCTTTGTGTCTGCTGGAGAAGGCTGGGATGCCGCCTGTCACCCCGGAGCTGCAGACTCCCATCCAGGCTGCCGGAGGTGGCCCGTCTGCTGTCAATCAATCTGGATGTGCAGTAGCAGAGAGTGTGTGTATGTGTGTGTGTGTGTGTGTGTGTGTGTGTGGGGGGGGGGGTTGACACATGATGTGGCTCCCTGCTGTTCAGAAATTCACTTCTGAGTTTTTTGCCTAGCAGGCCTGCACAGTCGGCCATAGAGATTCTGGTGTCTAAAATTAGTCAAACGTGGTTTGTGAGTCTTTGAGTTGAAAGTGGTTTTAATGCTTTGCTGCATCAAACCAATCACTCCTGCTTTGTCCTCTTGGTTTTTCTAGTTATCTTTGATAGGTACTATTTTTATCATTTCAAACAGCTGGGTGTCTTGTCTCCTTTATCTGCATTTTCTCATCTTTCATGGATTTAAGGTGGTCTTTGTAACACCTTGTCCAGGGACTACAGATGCCAAACAGCCTGTAATTTATTTATTAATTTGCACTCTCTTCTGAGATGTTTAAACATAATACTCACAGCTTTTTTTTATAATCCTGTATTGTTGGTTTCCACATTTAATAGAAATTGATCAGCAGTTAAATACTGGTCAAATATACATGTAACTGAGAGACGTCAGAGCTAACATAATGCTTCATTTTTGCCAGGCTGCAGAATTTCAACATATTTCAGTCAGTGAGGGTTTGATGTTTTCAGTTTAGAAACTTAATTTCACATTAAGTCTTCTCAGTCCTCTTCTTGTCACCTGTCTGTAGATCTGTAGGACAGTGCGTCGCCTCTGTGCCCGGCCTGTCAGCACCTGTATCCGATCGGACTCTGAGCTGTTTGTTTGCACTTACTGACGTTGTTTCCTGTTGTCTAGGTGAACCTACTCTCTGATGTTCATCACTTTAGACAGAAGTATCTAGAGTGTAGATCAGGGGTGGACACACGAGAGAAGTCCCTCCTTAAGCGGATGTGTCTGGATGTTCGTCCTTGTCCTTGTGCGAGTACATGAGGTTAAAGAAACCTTTAGAAGAATAGATCTGTAGCTTTCTTCTTGAGCTCCAAAAGGATCTTTTAATGCATGTTTTAAGCCATGGGCGTGATGAGGTCACTGAGGTCTGGACTTTGGTAATTTCCTCAAAAAACGAGACAGAAAAAGTTATTACCAATCAACCTGTGATGGCTTTTACTTTGAAAATATTCATACAGAAATGCTACCAAGTCAAGGCCTGCCTTACACTGCCTTTGTGTGTCTGGCTTCGCTTCACAGTTAAGGAAAAAACTCAGCCTGTGGCTCCTGATTCACTTTACAAATAGAAAGTAAATGTGTGCGAGTTATTGGCCCGGTGTATAGCTTGGGTTGCATTTAAAGGCATATATTTTGCATGTACTTAAAGGCCTTGAATATAGGATATATGAAGTGAAATATTTATGGGCCACAATATTTTCTAAACCCTGGTTACGGCCTTGTTTTAATCTCTGCCTTATGCGATCAAAAATTCTTCACATTGACTAAAATTGGTTAGTTTTGACTTTCCCCCCTGTGACTGTTTCATGCTTCTCCTGCTTTTCCCCCTTAAAGTAACCCAAAACAAAATGTTCAAATAACTGATTCACACACACTTATTTCAGACGTTTGGGTTAAAAACTGATTTGCAGGAAGCTTTTTAAGAAGAAGTGAATTTTGTGAATATGTCATGAGCAAGAGGATGAAAATCAAAACACTCTTGCTGCTCTGGCTTTACATAAATGTAGAGAAATAATAAGAAGGATGTTGGCTTCATGTCTGATGTAGATTTTTCTCTGAGCCGTAATGTTTGGAGCTGCTCTCTTAATGTGATCTCTGTCCCTCCGTCTCTGCAGGACTCCGTGGTTTAACGGCTGGGGGTTCAACCTGCCTCGAGGTCAGTCTCTGCTGGATAAGTGGAATCTGGTCCCTGAAGGCATCGACATCCTGATGACCCACGGACCTCCGCTCGGTGAGTCCAATTAACCAATCACAGCCCCCCCTCATCACCATACCTAATGAGCTTGTACCTCATTATTCGAGAATCTGTGAGAAGTCACTGGAGGCGTAGCAGCAGCAGGCGGCGTGCGTGTGTGTGTGTGTGTGTGTGTGTGTGTGTGTGTGCAGGTGTGTGTGTGTGTGTGTGGTGTGTGTGTGTGTGTGTGTACTTGCGCTACAGTCAACACTGTTTTTATCATGAGCGAACACTCGAACACGCTCTGTGATTCAATATTTGTTTTTGAGCGTACACATTGTTTGCTTTTCTTTATTCCAGTCTGATTCAGTTTTTTTCCAGTTTTTGTTCCCAGTATGTTTTCTTTCTCTCTTTCTCGCTCTCCATCTGGCTTTATTGAGTGTTTTCCTCCCTCTCGCCTTCGGAGGGCTGCTGCTGCTGCTGCTGCTGCTGCTGCTGCTGTGGCAGCCGCTGCGGCCGTTTGATTGCATGGAAACCGGATTTTGCTCCAGCGTGACAGACGCTGCGAATGATTGGAGAGAGAGTGGAGGAGAAGCAGAGGGCTGAGGGGGGGTGGGGGGGGAGGCTCTTCTAAAGTGGAGGGACATAATGGAAACAAATCTGTGTTGCATGACGAAATACAAATATAGTTTCTCATCTTCCAAAATGTATTAAGATTACAGTGATAGTGCAAATATGAGTCACTGGAATCATGAGCTGGTGTGAACTACAGAAGTCTTAAATATTAAAGATCTGTGTGTTTATCTTTCATTATTTAACTAGTCATTTAATCGCTTTTTAATTATCTCCAAATCACAAAATGTGAATAAGAGTAACACTTAAGGATTCCTTAAAACAAAGGGTACAGTCTGTTTGTTAAATCATGTTTCATTAAACCTCAATGAGGCGATTTCCACATCCAACGAAATCCATCAAAATACTCAAGTTCCTCTTCAGCTGGCTCGTACATTTTTTTTAAAAAGTTTGACTTCTTTACCCGTCTGTCTGTCTGTCTGTCTGTCTGTCTGTCTGTGCAGGTTTCAGAGATTGGGTTCCCAAAGAGCTGCAGCGGGTCGGCTGCGTGGAGCTTCTCAACACGGTCCAGAAGAGAGTGAGACCCAAACTTCATGCTTTTGGAGGCATACATGAAGGTACGGAGAATAAAACCAGCGTCACAGGAGGATTAGAGGAATGTCTTCATACCTTCACCTGACCTTAACTCTGTTTGTCTTTGCTTGACTGTTTAACTTCGTCCTTTCTCTCTGTTATCGTTGTAACAGCTGTCCAGTGTCAATAAAAGAAACTTAAACCACCAAACAATCCTTTACAGAATATATCTGGAGAGTGAACGTCAACCTTTAAATGAATTCACTCTTTCCTCTTTGTTTAGGCTTTGTGCTCCAAACTTAAACTCACCATGATCTCTCCTGGATCAGCCCTTGTGTGTTTCACCCCACCTTAAGGCAAACAATAACCAATAACCTGCCCCAATAAAATCACATTAAAACACTTTATTTCTAGCACACAAAGTATTAACTCATCAACAAAGATCGACTGATTACTCAATAACCAAAACTGGACAACGCAAAATCTGTTTCACAAACTCTCCTAAACCTCAGCCACAGCATTTAAACATAAGACTTTTTGAAGAGGGGTCTAATGAGTGTCTGAAGCCTCCTACAGACCGGCTGAGGTCGGCATGGCCGTCAGCAGGAAGCTTGCTCTTGCCATAGCAGCGTTCATAGGGATAGAGGGAGGGGAGGGATAGAAAACTGTGGACACGATGTTGGTGAGGGAAAAGTAGCACATTTTTCTGCCCTTAATCAAACTCCAGATGTGATCAACTAAATCTCCTTATGCAGGAGTTTTGTTTAGAGACGGTGATAGTTAAGCACTGTTGATTTGTAGTAAGTGCAGAGTGTTTGAGTGACTTTGACTTCTCCCTCGCTCCCTCAGGCTACGGGATCATGACGGACGGCTACACGACGTTCGTCAACGCGTCCACCTGCACCGTCAGCTTCCAGCCCACCAACCCCCCCATCGTGTTCGACCTGCCCAACCCCTCCAGCTCCTGAGACCAGAGGGGGGGGGGAGACGGAGGGGCAGAGGGAGGGAGTAAAAATGTTTTTTTCTATAAATATGTCAAGTTAAAAAAAAAAAAAATCTAAGTGTTTCTTTGCAAACATTTGGTCTTCTCTAAGCTGTTGTTGAAGTTGAGAAGATTTGGAGACATTGGGGGGGAGGCGGGGGGGGGTTATCTGGGAGGGTTAAAGGAGAATAACGGTGTTTACATTTCTTTTTTTGTGCCAACAGTGCTGCTTCCCCTCTCACATTTATGTTAACGCCTCACGTTAAGCGTAGAAACGGCTTCATTTCCTGATTCCAACCGGGCAAAGTTATTTCATCAGAACCCTTTATCCGTTCTTTTTTAAGGAAGTTCAACATCCAGTTCAGGAAATCCTCCACAAAATGTGTCGCTGTAGCGCGTAACCATAAAAAAATGTAACCCCCAATTTCCACAAACTCCTTGCACATCAGCACCACGGTTTTGCTCCTTCGGACGGCGGGCGCACTGCCTCACTGAGTCCGTTTCTGGAACAGCTGTACTTTACACACATCACAGGAGAACAGCAAGAACATGTGGGAGTACAGAAAAAAACATGCAAACAACATGTTTCTTTTGTCTACCTGAGGATGATTTGTTGTTCATTTGGTGTTTTGACGTTAAGTTGATTCAGTGACGGAAAAAAAACGATCGTATATTTTGTATTATTTTGAAAATCCTTCCTGTCTGGCTCGATGTAGTCTGTCCAGCTTGACGCGTCACCTGCAGCGCACTCCATCGAAAATAAACTCGCAGCGAAATTAGAAACGGAGCAGAGCGGAGTGGTGCTGCTGGCTCGCTTCAGAGAGGGACGCCGGCGCTCGCTGTGGAAACCATCTTTGACTAGAGTGGCAGCGAACGAAGGCGTAGTGCGCGGCGCTGGCGGACCACGGTGCGCACAGAGTATGTGAAAATTGGGGATAAGAGTGATGACTGAAGAGGGTTTCCTGCTGGAATAAAAGATAAATATTTTATGAAAAGCTGCTTAATTTCATGGGAAGTTGTGATTGTTTTTTTATTTATTTAAATTTTCCAACTTTATTTGTGCTTAATCACGACAAATCAAAATGATTTTTGACCCTTTTCAGAGCAGAATCTGCCTGTCGTTCTTTGTTTGGACCGTTTATATATAAATAAAAATAATCATTAAAGTCTAAAGAAGTTCAGCTTGTGATGAGAAATTAATTTGAGAGGGGAGAGTGACGCTGCGCTGAGAAACACCGCTATTCTCCTCCTCCTTTTTTTTTTTTTTTTTTTTTTTGAGGGTTTTGTGGTTAAACAATCTTGCTCTTGATAAATATTGGTCAGACCTGTAAGATAAATGATGCTTTGTGAATTTGTACAATTTCTCTCTGTTTGGTTTTGCATTGGCCGGACAGCGGATGCCATTGTTTTTATGTTGTATCTACCATCATGATATTTTGTGTTTAGCTCTTCTTTCTTTTTTTTTATCTCGTCAGTTGCTCTTCTTTCTTATTGGCTGACAGGGACGCTGCCTTAAACTAGCTTTAATGTTCTCACAGCTAGAGCCCCTTCCCCCCCCCCCACCCAATCTCTGCGAGCTCAGAGAAAAAAAAAGTCCTTATTTATTACCCATCATCCCGCAGGACAACACCTGACCGACGACGCAGGGACGGAAAGCTAACGAATCACAGCCCGACACGTTCACTCTCTTAACATCTCATTCTGGATTTCTGATCTAATTTGGAAATGTATGTATAAAATATATAAATATATATTCTATATTCATGTTGTAAAACATCTGTACGAAAAGTTGTGTTTGGAAAAAAAAAAAGAACATCTGGTGAATTGTTTTTTTTTTGTACGCGCCTGTATGATGGCGTTTCCCGCTCGTCGCTCTTCAGACGTTTCTTTCCTGTTTTTTTGGGTAAACGTTCATTTTGGATGAGAGAGGAGACTTTTAGTCAGAGTCACAATCCAACAGGTGCTGCTTGTTCCCAACAACACGCCTGCCTAAACATGCTTATGTTGTCCTTTAAAGTGTAAATCTGATAGTATTTGTGTTCTATTGCTCTTGTTTTTTTTTCTTCTTCTAATTTTGCACTGTGTGTAAATGCAATCTTGCTAGCACAAAAAAAAATGTTGCCAATAGTTGTCTGAACTCTGCCGCTGTAAATGCTCTTTCTGTGCTCTGTTCCTCTCTCTCTCTCTCTCTCGCTCTCTCTCTCTCTCTCTCTCTCTCTCTCTCTCTCTCTCTCTCTCTCTCTCTCTCTCTCTCTCTCTCTCTCTCTCTCTCTCTCTCTGATTGTACCCCTCTTCATGGAAATGTTAGTTCTCTTTTTCAGTTCATTGTGATATATTTAGCTGCCTTTATATGCAAATAAAATTGCAAGATTTTTACTTATCAAGATCTGTCTTGATTTTTGTTTTTTCATTTTTATATAAAGTGTCCCAAACCAGTCCTGAAGTCCTTTTTATTTCTGAATGTTTGATTCCAACTTCTAAATCTCGGAGGTCGACTCTGGGGGGGGGTCATCGGTACTTCTGGCAAACGTGAGGCATCTTCTCCTCCAGCTCGCACGTTGTGATTGGCTGCTGTTTGATTGGTTCACAGACACAATACAGGGAAAGGTTACAAAACCTTTTAACTTTGTTTGGGTCCACAAAGTGAGAGGGACTGATATCCAGCTCGTGTGACTCAGTCAATGTTCATATCTCAGAATAACACAGCTGCTGTACAATTATCACTTTAATATACTTTATTAATCCCAGAGGGGAGCTTCAGGTTTAGTGTGTGTGTGTGTGAGTAGCATGTCTCTCAATGATGAAGAGGACCGATGGACATGCATCAATGGAGAGATGTGAGAGTGAGGGGCTGCACATGAGTCAAGCAGTTTGGGGTTTAGTGACCATGGTAGAACTCTGGACTTAAACAGGCACCGTACTTTGGTCCATAGCAGGACTCTTAACCAGCAAACATACATTTCCCAACCCAAGTCCCTCAAATTGAGCTACCGCAGCTAATTTTTTAAGGTTTAGTTTTGGGCTGTTTATGACTTTCTCCTTTTTTTTTTTTTAATGCTTTTTATTGTACGTGAACTTTCTGCTCAAATATAACTTGTGACAGTCTTTGTAGTATCCACGCTGTTTGTTGTTGTTACAACATTCAGACTTTCCAAACTTTAAAGCATGTAATCACACTGTGGGAGTGTCACCCACCTGGGGGAGGGGTTTACTGCCCTGTGTGATGTCATAAAGGGAAAATCTCCAAACGGTCTGTTTGAACACACATTTTCTGAAAAGTGGAGCAGGCAAAAGACGGAGAGGACGGACTTTTCTCATCATCGGGGGATTTGTTTACACAGTTGGAACACATTATTACAAAAACATGGTGAAGTGTATTTTGCATAATATGTGACCAACTTAAATTGCTTAATTGTGTTTGGCTGTTTAATTCACATGCGGATCTATAAGTGATATCTACGGTGGCTGGGAAGTGCAGATCAAAAGGACAAAGTGTGAAACACTTCTACAAGCGCTGAGACAAATTAAAAAGTGGCAGAACATTTTAACTAGACACCAAACAAATTTACAAACAACTGAATCTTGACGGAAAGGGAATGTACCAAATACAGGAAGTGACCTGGAAGTGATTGAGTGAGGGGTCATTTTGTTTTCTTTTTATAAAATGTAAATGTGCTTTGGTTTTGTAATTTTGTTTTATATAATGTAAAAATCTTTTTTGTAAAAGTTCACACTAGAACCTCGGGCTGTTTCTTTACATCAGCACTCAGACAAAAAGCCACTTCTCTCTCTAATCGTATTTAATTTACCTCCTTCCTGATTTCACTCTCCTGTCTCGCTCTTTTCTTGCTTGCTGTTTTTGCGAGGGCATTATTGATTAGTTCAGAAAATTACCGTCATTACAGATAGCGGAAACAAACGTTTCATTATTCATTGATTAAAGGACAGACGCTAATTTGAGTCCTTCACAATCAAAAACATCAGTTTATAGCGACATCTTCAAGTCAACCAATTATAAATATCGCTCACCGACGCGTTCACTTTGACAGCCAACAAAACTATTACTAAATGGACCTGAAGCCAAAGTTTAGTTGTGAATTGAAGGCTGCAGTTTCACATTTTGTCATTTTGCTTTGCACTTCCCAGCCACCGAAGATATCAGATGCAGAAATGTTTTTCTTTATATTTATCTTAAACAAGCTGCTCTGTATTTCACACGGGCAGAGAAGAAGGACATGTTCACCCACAGTTCATTTCCCTTATTTGTCCATTGGAGAAGTTTAAGAGTAATCGATTTAAAGCATCACAAACAAACTTAGAAATAAAAAAAAGGCAGATCCCCAGCTGAGTGAACATGCTTCTCTCAGCAGGAGAAAAATAAAAAATGATGGTTTCCGTTTCTCCCACACTTCTCATCTGAACATTGAAAACATGGCAGCAGCTCCAGATCTGCCTCCTTTGTCTTTGGTTTCATCAGGTTTCGCTCCCTTTCACTCTCGCCAGCTCAGATCCCTCGTAGGGCCAAAAATAAAAACGGGCTCGAGTTGTCGGGCGCCTTCGCCAGCCTTTTTCCCACCAACCCCCCTTTCTCTCATCACCACAACATCAAAGCAACCCAACCAATTAAGTATTCCCCCGAAACGAGAGCGGCAAAGCATCGCCCCACACCCACCAGATCCCCCCGCACATTACCATAATCCAGTCTAATCATATTAACACGGGCCGCAGACGAGCAGGAGGAGACACGGCTGCTCTGCTGCGTTCATCATCCTCCTTAGTGTGGGTGTGAATGTGAACGCTGCACATGTTGTGTCTCTGCAGCGATCGGACGCCAACATGCTAAATGTTAAATGCTAATCATCGTTCAGTCAGAGGTGTAACGATTCAACCATACGGATCAATATATCGATTTACTGCCCAACGATTTCACCAGCATCAAAACAAAGACTAATCCATATCTTCATCTGTGACGTTCATTCAGAGAGATGTTTTCAAAAATCAGAAGCCTTTTTCAGACAGCTGTTTCAAGCGATATTTACGCCCCTGTGATGTTTCACTTTCAATCTGAACGTCGAGGAGGAGCCAATGTGGGAGTGTGTGTGTGCATGTCTGACTGTGTGTGTATATGTGGAGCACTCGCTGTACTGTGAATTCAATATAACGCTGTTGTAGAATCAGTAAGATGACACAGGCGTGATGACGGCTGAGCTTAGTGATGGTACTTGAGTCAATAAAGGGCTAGAGATGCACAGTGCTAAGATAAAGATAAAGATAAGATATACTTTATTCATCCCAGCAGGGAAATGTAGGCGTTCCAGCAGGCAGCATACATACAAACACACAACACAACACATATATACACACATATCCCACCCATACAAAAAAACATGAGCCCACAATACAGTTTGATATATGATATATGCAACTCAGGCTAAAGTTTCAACGTTTAAATGTCTTCTGTCCTTACTTAAAGGGGAGTCGTTATAAAGTGCAATTGCAGTAGGTAAAAAAAGTATTTTTAAATCTGTCCTTTTTGCTTCTTAGCTGCCGTAGCCTCCCACTAAAAACACTCTTTTGTTCACACCCGAGATTGTTTAAGGGATGCATGTTTTTGTCCATAATGTTCAACAGTTTCTGTATCATCCTTCTCCCCATCCCCACCTCCAGGGGCTCCACAGCAGTCCCCCAGCACAGAGCCAGCCCTCCTAATCAGCTTGTTAAGCTTTTTAGAGTCACAAGCCCTGATGCTGCTGCCCCAACAGACGGCTGCAAAGAAAATGGCACTTGCCACAACAGCCTGATAAAAACATGGATAGCATTTTGCTACACACATGAAAAGACATAAGCTTCCTCAAGAAGTAGAGTCTGCTCTGACCCTTCTTGTCGACGGCCTCTGTGTGGTGCTTCCAGTCCAGTTTATTGTTCATGTGCACCCCCAAGTATTTATAGCACTCCACCACCTGCACCTCATCCCCGAGGATAGAGATGGTGCTTAGCTCAAGCCTGTCCCTCTTAAAGTCCACCACCATTTCCTTGGTCTTTGTTACATTTAACACCAGGTGGTTCTTCCCACTCCATGCAACAAAGTTATCCACCAGCATCCTGTATTCTGTCTCCTCTCCACCACTGATACACCCTGCAACCGCAGTATCGTCTGAGAACTTCTGTAAGTGACAAGCCTCAGAGTTATACAGGAAGTCTGAGGTGTATAGTGTGAAGAGGAAAGGGGACAGCAGAGTCCCCTGCAGCGCTCCTATGCCACTGACACAGACCTCCCCAGCCTCACAAACTGTGGTCTGTCAGTCAGGTGCTCCATGATGTTGTGGTGGTGTCTACCTGCATCAGCTCCAGCTTCTCAGGTAGCAGTACTTGGCTGTATGGTGTTAAAAGCACTTGAAAAATCAAAAAACATAATCCTCACAGTGCTATCAGACTTGTGTATTTTTTTGTCTAAAAAAAACAGACCGGACAAATCATCTGGAAAAGAAAATGGATCGAATAGAGTTTAGGAAAAAATGAAATACAAGGGATCTTAATCTTTTTAAGACTATTCAAATGAAAGTAATTAAAAAAAAAAATCTCTTAAAAGAGTCAAAAATATTTGACAAACTAAACTCTTCCAGACATTCAATCCAAAAATAATCAAGGTACTTATTGTGAGTTAATTAAAATGCATCGAAATCCTTCAGTGGCAGACTTTGTGAAATCAGCAAATACTGTGCACTTATCAAAGGAACCCTTTGGTACTCTAAAGCCGTCTTCACGTCTGCACTCCTGAACATTTGTATTTCAGTGTTTCAGGACGACTGTTACACCTCGTCACCGGCTGCAGTCAGTCTCCTCTCTCAGGAAGCTGCTGGTGTTGTGTGTGTTCGGTGTTTGTCAGGTTAGCCTTCATCTGCTGCTGATGGATAACGGCTGAGACAACCTGTGTGTGTGTGTGTGTGTGTGTGGGGGGGGTGGGGGGGGTGGGGGGCTTACTTTTGGTGCCAGCACTCTGCATGCACTGTTTATGTGGACTTAATTGCCCGCCGGTGGTATTATTGTAATCTGGAGCTCATTTGGCACCAGAGGAGTTACAGTGAAATAATTCTGTGAAACAGAGTCATGCTTTCCATTCGCTCATCCCTCACATGTGACCTGATTCAACATCGTTATGGACGTCAGTTTACATTATTTTTAGGGGTTTCTTTGAGATATGTATTGAGGAAAAAGAAGATTTAAAAAGCTCATGTAAACTTTTCTAAAGATCTAAGTCGACACTTTGAAGTGTTTTCTAACAGAACAGGGAACATATCACATGTTCGCACTTCGGGCGTTGATTCAATGTTAATTAAGTCAGATAAGAATGAAAACCTGATTAAATGAATTAAAGGTTTACAGGGCTTTCCTAATGACTTTCCACGTTAATTGTTCGCTCTGCAGATTTGATGCA